GTTTTTGGTGTCTCTCTTCGTCTGATGCCTACCCTTTGACCTGTCCAGCAAGGGAGGCCCTGCCAGTAGCTACGCTACCGCTGGTATAGCTCTCAGGGTCCTTGGCATACTCAAACCCCCTCACCACGATAAGGTGGAGACACCAACGAGGGGGGAGTAACATTAAGGAATTAAAATTACATTCAATATGAAATTAATAGCACATTAAATGGGGGAATATTTTCTATAATTTTATTGGTAGTTTTTCTTGGCGTTTTCCGGCTAGTTTATTTGTGGGTTGTTTAACAACGCTGACACTCTCTGTACTGTAGCGGCTGACGGGGGAACAATTTAATTAACGGTGAATTGACAAGGATGTGGAAGGAAGCCGTCACGGCCTAACTGAGGTAGGCTTCACCTATTTGCCTAGAGGGACTGTGGGGAACCACGAAAACCCCCGTAGGATAGCCGGCGTTCCTGCCGAAATTCGAACCGAGCGACTCCCATATACAAGTTCAAATCGTCCTCACTTAAGCCATCGAAAACTCCTTCACTTGTAAGAATTTTCCACCTCAGCGGCCCTGGTTTGATCCGAGGGCAGGTAATATGGATTTGTGGTGGACAAAGTGGCACTGGGGCAGGTTTTCTCCCAGTGCTTCGGGTTTCCTCTTCCAATTCTCATACCACCAATTGATCTGTATTCATTTATAAACCTATCATCGTTGCTACACAGTCTCGACATTGATAGCGTCGTTAAATAACCAACTTCGGAAATTATTTGAAGGAAGGAATAGGGTGTTGACGTCACTGGGAGGGACTGAACTTCCATTGACGCTAGGGAAAAGTTATTGAGCACACAGTAAACTGTAATCTAATAAGCAGACGCCTTAAGGTCCAGGGTGTTAACTTTCAATCTTTCCGATAGAATCAGAGCCGCTACCACTTAGCAAGCCCGCTTATCTGTCACGTGACTTCAGGTTTAGTTTGGGCTGGGTTGCTTCCTGCTTCCTTTCTTCCAGTGTGGAGGATAAATTCTTGTGTGTGAAAGAGAGATTGATGATAGTGAGCGAAGAGAGAGTAAAAAAGAAACGTTAACGCAGGACCGTAACATCAGGTAGCTCAAGGCGCCCCCAGACTTCTATCGATCAGAGAATGTTGGTGGCTGTCCTGTAACTCGCTTCGACCCCATGACATCAACAGTGTTTCCTACATTGCCAAAATTTCGCTCTCTTCTCATCGTTTGTTTCCGAGAGTTCCTTTCTTGTTTAACTATCGATTTGTATCGAACTGTGTGGCCCAGTAGTAACTCTCTAGAATCGTATTTAGTAGGCGTTTGGTTCGAATCTCGGCCAAGACACCGGAAATCCTGACTGAAGTTGCTCGTGGTTTTACCTAGCCCTTCCAGACAAATGCCAGTATAGTACTTCTATTATGCCACAATATGTTCCAAATCCTCTCCAAGTCATTATTCATCGTTCATCCTAACCATAGACGCCATATAGTCCAGTTACTGAGTCATTAAGTAATTCCCCCCCCCTCCAGCAATGATAATCAGATTGTTTCCGCTGTAACTACCTACATGGGGCCGCGCCACAGCTCAAGCGGTTAGTCGCTGGCTTCTCACCGCGGCGGCCCGGGTTCCATCCCGGGGTCTGGTCAAGTGGGATTTGTGGTGGACGAAGTGGCGCTGGGGCAGGCTTTCTCCGAGTACTTCGGTTTCCCCTGCCAATCTTCATTCCACCAATTGCTCCACAATCACCCTCACCTATCATCTGGGGCTGGTAAAATAGACCAGAAGTGGCCGCAGTACAAGGGACTTAGTCCCACCCCACTAGCAATAAAAAAAACTACCTACATCCATGGAGCAAATTCCTTCTCGAGAAGCTGATGATTGCGCAGACAGTAAAGAATTTCATCGCATTCTTACAGAGCTTGAAGTTTCAATATCATGGTCACAAGAATCAGGAACTGGTCTCTACTTTGAGCCAGATGGAATCAGCCTTTCTTTTTTCACACTTTCTTCCTTTTGGATCTCTTTTAGTGTTACCGCTCCATCTACGCCAATGTATCTAAGTGACATTTTCTGTTCGGGTAACCTCGGACGGGTTGGTGGCGGAAATAACGAATACTACTTAAATGTCCGTTGGAAATTGAAAGAGGGATTTTGAGAGTTCTCATCTCTGGCAGCCGAAGTGGCTGATCTAGAGGAAACACTGCAGACTCATATCCGGGAAGTATTCGGTTTAAACCTTGGCTAGGACACCGGTAATCCTGACTGACATTTTTTGTGGATTTATCCATTGCATCCAGGAAAATTCCACTTCCTTCCAAATCCTTTCCAGTTTATCATTCATTGATCACTTAGACAAACGACTTTGTAAAATAATCAACTAAAGAAGTTAAATAGATTAGTCTCAAATGAAAAAGAAATTTTCTCGCAATAACTGCCTGTCGTCTTCGTGTTTGCGGCGTGGCACCATCCCATAGGATTGTAACGCGCTAGACATAAATTTCTCATGTCTGTGATTCTGAAGGTTAGTGTACTCTGGGATGTTAGGCCGTAACAAATATTTACGTATGATTCGAAGGAACCTGCTGCCTCCATCTTGAAGATGAAATCCACACGGCCCTCCAATACGTTAATAAATATGAACCAGACAACAAGGCGTCTTATTCCGTAAGACAGTAATCTTTATCATGTGCTCCAGAAACACGGAGGGAATGTAAGAAGGCTGAGAACATTTATTTCCACGTCTGTAGACCCCTGTAGGGAGATTACAAATAACCTGACATCACAATCTGAATGCAATACTGAATGGTTTTCTCGAAACCTATTTCATGAACTCAGTAACTCTCCATTCTTGTGACTTCCCCTGCACCTAAACATTTGCATATCGCTGATTTATGCGCTGGAAACGACACATAAACAAAAATCCCTCTGCCATGAGTTCATGTCATTCCTTGCCAATAGCAGCGACAAGAATGCTGTCTCCTGATTCCTAAAAGGTTCAAAAGAAGGAGGTTTGGGGGGAGGAAATATAAGCTTCCTTTACCAATATTTACATAAAATAGTGTAGAGTTGTTTATATACTAGGTATAATAAAAATGGTCATACATACGCGTAATGTATAAACCTACCACAGTGTATATAAGAGGAAATAAGGGGAGGTTGATATCAGATGCAAGCTCACGTAGTTGCCGCGCTTCTTGCATAAATCAGTGGGCCTTCTGATAATTACTGTCATCTTCTGACACTTCAGAACTGCGTGACTCAAGTGTAGAAGGTAAAGGGGAGTAGAGGGTAAGAGAGGAATCCTTTTTATGACCCGGTAAGATGGCAGGGGGTAAGTTCAGAGAAGGGATGATAGCAAACATAAAGGAGGATATGAGAAAGGGTGCCAACAGTCCGGGGGTGGGGGTGGTTGAGTAAGAAGAAAAATATCATGTGCTTTATTAAAAATATATTTTATATTTTCGAAATCTTCCTGATACAGAGAAGCCCAAGATTCTTTAAGCTTTAAATCATTTCGATGTTTTATGTGAGATAATGTTATGGGCTCTTTCTCATGTGCATGTTTTTATTGTCACGATCTTGTACTGTGATACATAGCTCATTTAACATGCAACATATTCAACAGGAAAACATTATATATCAACACCAGGGGAACTAAAAAAGTAGGCTTATTTTTCTACACATAAAAACAAACGCAGGAGAACAGCTGCGGTTTAATTTGGAAATCGACAGACATTCACAGCGTCTAGTTATTAAGAATTTGTTTATTGCGTTTACGTATTGGCTCCACTACAGTGTTCTTGGTGGCAGAGGCGTGCACCGTTCGCATGTACTGTGGCTTGGGAGGAGAATAAAGAGAATAAGTGCTGAATTTTTTGTTCTGATATCGGTGACTATGAGGAGCACTATCCCGTGGGATTTAACGCCCTGTAAAACGTAAAGCAGAGATGTCCTTAATGAAGCACTGCGCAATGAAGGCGTGTGGGGAAATGGATGTATAGATCTGTATTTTCTTGACCTCGGCACTAGTTGGAGGTGAATAGTCAGCTTCACGCCTCGGCCGCTTTACCCCAGAAAAAGGGCCCCCGGTACCCATTGATAGGAGGCTAGGTGGGCTCCAGAGACGGTCTGGACGACGTGAAGAAAATTCTTGACTCTCCCGGGACTCGAACTCCGGCCCTTCATCATTCCAGCCGGTTGCCAGTCGCTATACCGAGTGAGCTATCCCGGCCTATAGTGTGGTAAAAGTTCGCTAACGTTTCGGAAGGATATACTTCCTCTATATTTAACGTCAAAAAGTAAGCCAGTCAAGCAAAAAGTAAAAAAAATAATTTGACTGTGGTCAGAAATCGGCTCTCGCATAGTGAAAATAAAGCCTCCAGACTGGGCGAGAGTGGGGGGCGGGGGGAGAGAGATTCGATCCCAGGCAACGACGTTATGGAAATTTACTCTTCATCCGAGTCACCCGAGATGCTCTGATGCACTCCCTTCGTCCCTGGCATGGCTTGATGCCTTAAATAACTATAAATTAACCTGTTATGGCGCTGATACTGACATGATTCTTCACTTAGAACAGAACCAGTCTATCGGTACACTGCCCAAGAGACTATTCTGAAGTTAATAATGGGATAGAGTAGGGTTTTTGACCCAAAAATCTTCATAAGTTGAGGTTTTTTTTTCAGGCTCGATTTCCATCGCGATGTGCGGATCTTGGCGGCTCTGGAAGACGTGAACATCGCTCGAGTGCTGGGAATGTGTAGCCATGAGGAGCCCCTCTGCGTTGTAATGGAGTACCTGGACCACGGTGACCTGAACCAGTTCCTCAAGACACACGTGCCTGCCGAAGGCGCGCGTACTCTGCCTGTCGGCGTGAAGACTCTGAGGTGAGAACACCCCCTTTCAGCCTACTTCCCTTAGTTTGGAAAGAAATCCATTCTAACAACTCCGAATAGAGAAACCAAAAGAGACGGTAGTTACTAGGCAACGGCTCGGTAAACACATTCCCGCTGCAATAAATACAAAGCAATGGGATAACTGTTGGACGCGGTGTTTTGTTTTCTATTCGGCCAGCGCCTTCTTCCTCATTTACTCCTCTAGTTTGTTTTTACATTGGTAGTTCATTATTGTAATTCAGAGCATGGAGAATATTTATTGATTTAATTATGATATTTTTCTGTGAGAAGTCGTTGATCGTTCAGAGGAACTGGAAGGTCACCGATGATTAAGTTACAGCTTTAGTAGGGCTAATGTAGTTCCCGTTGAAATTTCGAAGCTAACTTATACAACCTGTATATTTATGCGGCCTACCATAAACATTCACACTTTTATCGCATACTTGTTTTCTCTCTTTCTCTTTTATTTCCTTTTGGCTTTTCCTGTCAACAATATTTTCCCACTTCCTTCCTTCCTTCCTTCCTTCCTTCCTTCCTTCCTTCCTTCCTTCCTTTACTTCTGCCTGCCACGTACCTTAAAACATTTAGACTGATATCGCGCAGAGACACGAGTTCTGCATCATCTTGAGCACAAGCGAATCCACGTGCCCACACTGGCTTTTGAAATTATACTCGTTAAATTATGTACAAGTGTTATGAACCTATGTGTCGAGGCCGTTTGACAATTAACGCTATCTATCAGACATTGAGAGCAACCATGTCCTCTGTGAGCGCTTACGTATAGCCGACTGACATCACAGAATGGCAATATATTTGTACTTCTTCATTCAAACAGTTTTGGTGAAGGAATTGTACCTTTACGACGAAATAAAAATATATTTTGAGCCAAAATAATACAGTTAAGTGTTATTAATGCGAATTTACGATATTCGTAAATCTATCTGAAATTGTATAGTGTTTGAGGGTTTACAGATGTCCGCGCCATAGCTCAAGCGGATAGTCGCTGGCTTCCCACCGCGGCGGCCCGGGTTCGATCCCGGGTCTGGTCAAGTGGGATTTGTGGTGGACAAAGTAGAGCTGGGGCAGGTTTTCTCCGAGTACTTTGGTTTCCCCTGCCAATCTTCATTCCACCAATTGCTCCACAATCACCCTCACCTATCTTGGGCTGGTACAATAGGCCAGAAGTGGCAGCAGTGCAAGGGACTTAGTCCCACCCCGCTAGCAATAAAAAATAATAGTGTTTACAGATTATGTTACTGAGTCCAGAACAGTCACTGAAACAGAAATATTTGAAGCAGAACTTTCATATTTCAAGATGAGTTGCTATTGTGGCACGAAAACAGGAAATTCATTCATAGTACCACTGATATATTCCTGTGCGCAGTCACAAAATACTTTATCTGAGGTCATATTCGAAACATAACAGTTGCAGTGTTTCCGACTGTACCACAGTCCTGAGATTCACTGACCTCATCCGCCATTAACTGGGATTAGTGAAACCAGCCCGCGAGAGAGAGCGCACTCGAATTGAATACGTTAACAGTAGGACAGATATCCACTGGAATTGTTCAATAATTGAAGCGCCAATGGAATTACAAGACTCCATCAATTGCGGCGCAACCGAGCCAGAATGGCACGGCCCTATGATCCACTTGTTGTGTTGCACAGAAAGTAGCAATTTTACTCTTACCTTGGCCATTGCCATAATCCAAAAGAAGCAGCACATGTCCAGTAATTACATTCAGTGTTAGCTTGTAATTAGTAGGTAATAATAATGCCGTTATAATGAGCGTACATTATGAGAGTCATAATAATTTTACTCTTCTACGCCTGTATTTTTATGTGGAATATTCGTAATTAGGCTTAAGAACTAATAATTAATATGGGCCTATCGGTCTGATGTTATTACTTTTACAATAATAACTATCTATTGTTTCGCTTCTTTCTATGGGAGAAATGTCTTTACCTTAGCCACTTATTCTGACTTTCAGATGTCCAAATTGTGTAATGAAGAGATTACATACGTAGTTTGTGCTCAGGTTCACAAGGCCTGGGTTTCAGATTCTGCAAGGCCCCATTTTCGTCTCGTAAATAGAAATAAATTGCCGGTCACAGTGGCTGCGCGGTCTAAGGCATGAACTGTCTTCGCTCGCTCAAACACTGGGATCGTGGGTTCGAATTCCACTCGAGGGATGGATATCTGTGTGCGTTTATTCTGTTTGTATTGTCTTGCGTTTAGGTAGAGGCCTTGCAACAGGATGATCCCCCGTCCAGGGAGTCCTACCGACTGTGTATAGGATCAAGAAACTGAAAAAGCAGCCAAGGCTCAACAAAAGGCTGTAGAGCCATAACAATAATAATAATTGAATTCAATTCGTGTTTGTTTACGTGCAAACTTAACAGCACAGAGGCCAATAACAAAGTTGGCATGAGTACATAGAAATACAGATATAACTAAAAGACAAAATACAAATAAGACAGTCTATATAATGGCATTAAATTAATAATAATTCGAAGAAAAATTTAAGTTAGCATTAACANAATAATAATTTAACAATAATTAGGATCATAAGTAAAGTGTCAATGGAAAAGTCTTTCGAACCCAACACCAAATCAGTCGTAAATGCGCATGTGTTAAACAGGTGCGTGAGACAGACAAAGCTTTTAATGCAGACATTTCTTTTTCCTTGGCACTACTGCCCCAGTAGGCCTAGGCCTACCCCCATGAACTTCTCCGTTCACTTCGGTTTTTNAATGTTTATTTACATACAACTTAACAGCACAGAGGCCAATAATAATAATAATAATAATTTAACGATAATTGGGATCATAAGTAAAGTGTCAATGGAAAAGTCTTTCGAACCCAACACCANGCACACAGAAACTAAACATCCATGCCCTGAGTGGAATTCGAACCCACGATCCCGGCTTCCGAGCGAGCGAAGACAGTGCATGGCTTAGACCGCTCGGCTACCGTGACCGGCTTTAATGCAGACATTACTATCATATATCTGTGCATTCAGGATTGTATAATAAGTCAAGACGCTTTATTACCTGAATCCTCTTCTTCTAATCACTTGGATCTATCTGGGACACGTAATTTAAAAACGCGTTTCGTTAAATTGTTACGATTGTAGCATGGAGGGATGGAATGTTTCTGTCAGAATGACGATTCGTTCCTTTCTACTGCATTGGTGTCCTCCTATACGAAACCGGGCTCCAATTTATAATATGAGGGCACTGGGTGAATATCCACCAGACAGACTGTACACGTGTTTGTATACTGTACACTCTCTGAAGGAATGAGGACTTAATGTTAAAATGCAGTTACTGTTTTGAGCGTTTTGCTTCTATTTAAGTGAAGAAGTAACGTAATATTATTCTGAAATTGCGCAATTTCGAATTGCGATAGGAACGAACTGACGACCGTTAACCCTTAGCATGAACTTCTGTGTGTAGTAGTTGACGCCACAGCGATATTCTGTCTCAGTGTATCGTGTCTATTGAGTGTTGATAATATTTTGATGTGGATTCGTGATGTGTAGTGTACTATATGGAGGAAATGGTTTGTAGCTGACTATTTATGCGTATTATCCGTGGGAGATGGCGTTAAACTTCGGCCTTGACATACGAGAGTCAATAAATAAGTCACAAAAGGGCGTAAAACATAAAACATATGCTGTTCGAACGTGGGAAAGACATTTCTCGACATATTCTCCACCAACTTTCATAAACGTATCCCATCGCTTTACCAGTGCGTCGAAACCCGCAGCATAGAAGTATTTTGATTGTTTCTCAAACCACTTCTGTACCTCCGTTTCAACCTCTTCGTCATCAGAGAAACGTTTGCCACCAAAGTTGAACCGCTTTACGCGACAAACACTTCCCACCGTAAATGGAAACTTGTCTTTATGAATATTCTTTGCATTAAGTCCTCTTATTCACAAAAATCGATAATAGAATGGTACTTTTTGGTAGTGTACTCCTAAAGCATGGTCACCATTTTGCCTACTGAAACCACCCTCTGAACATGCACTATCATGAAGCTGGACTGTGCTGCTACCTAGTGATACACATAGAAAACCTGTTACATCGATTACAACTGTTTTACTTCCATTTGTGACCTTGTTTATTGACCCTCCCTCATATTATTTCATAACAGTTAGGACTGTAAAAGAATATCGGAAATGGCGTAAGAAGTTAACATTATGACATCTTAAGTAACTAATGGTAAAATTTCGTTGAATTTTTAATGAGTGTTACACTAAAGGACGACAAAATATGAGCTTTAATATCAGGAGATTGGAAATGTTTTAATCCTGAAGAAACGAAATCGGACGCAAGCAAAGTGACAAATGAAGACCAAATTATTTTGAGGTAGAACATGCAACTAACAATGCACCCCCTGCTTTTGACTGAACTGTCTGATGGGAAGTATTTCCTCCACATTTCCAGTGTCCGTTCCATTGAACCGGAATAGCTCAATCAGCATAATGACAAGGCTATATATTTGATGACCTGTGTTCAATTCCCGGCAGTCGCAAGGTATTTATCTTTTTACCGCCGGATTTAGACCGACACTGGTGCTCACAAATCCTCTTTATCTGATGGGTACTGTCCCTGGGGATAAAGCGGCTGGGGCATGAAGCTGACTGCTCATCTGTATTGCCGAGGATATGAATGCGTAGAACTATACTTCCACTCCTCCATACATTATAACAGCATGCTCTTTAACCAAGTACAGCATCTTTACCCTTTGCAGAGAAAACATAAATTCCAAATTGAAATTAACTATTCTTCACAATATAAATTTTACACGATTTTTCTTTTTCCCTTAAACGGGACACAGACAATTTAGTTACTTGTAACGCCGTCTGTTCCTAGAGATTCCTACATTTCGGAGGAACATTTCGCCTCCATGTTCAGAGTCGAAGAATAAGCCAAGCCAGAAACCAGCAGAAGCAGCTTACCACCTTCTGCTGGTTTCTTGTTTAGATTATTCTTCGATTCTGAAGATGGAGGGTTTCGTCAGAAATTCCGGTTGACTTTCCCAGGTCCACATGGCGTTATATCCCCAAAAAATAAAAATCTTCGTTATCTTTTTTTTGTTTTCGGGAATAAGTCCTACAGAATGTCCTCCAACTTATGGCAAACATTGCCGCCCATAAAGTTATTGTCTGTAAGGGGTAACCCTGAAGATGACAGCTGCAATAATTACAACGTTTCAAAATTCCACGCGCCGTATTCCCGAAAGCCGAAGTTTAGATTAGACTTCAGCTTGTGAAACCTAATAACAGGAATTGTCTTTCTTTTTTCAGCTTTAACTGCCTCCTGTACATGGCGGCACAGATTGCGTCTGGCATGAGGTACCTGGAAACGCTGAACTTTGTGCACCGTGATCTCGCCACCAGGTAGGCAGCACCTGGCTGAAACATGCTTCGTAATTTGGCTTGTATGTTCCTCAAAGGCATGACTAAAACCACCGGAAATAACTGAAAAATGAAGGTTTTGAGGATAACATTAAATAATGTATGAGTTAATATTATTTGGGCGCTGTCTTAAAAATGCATGGAATGGAGACAGTAGAAAACTGTCAGCGGAAAAAATATCAATAGTTAAATTTACTAGCATATGAAACATCGAAAAGTGTTCTCCCGACATTATATTGATTTCCTGTGTCCCGACATTATATTGATTTCCAGTGTTCGACCCCCTTTGCGCACTGTTCTGTACTGCCAATCTAAAATTTATTTCATAGTATGTTATCACGTGAAGGCTATAGACGGAGATTGGATTTATCGACCACTGACACACTCAACTCGTAACTACACGTAATTATGGCACCATCGCCGATCGCCACATTTTACAAATCACTTCACTACAGCACGTGCAAAATCTATTTAGTCTTCTGTGTCTTCACCAGTCGTTCCCTGATAACGGCTTTAACAGTGGAGATTCTTCAGTTTCCGCGCTCACTTCGTTGGCCGCTGGCTCACAACTGCAGTGACTAAGTTCCTTAGAACATCTTAATACGTACCGCGTGGAAAACACTGTTTCAAGCGGTTCCTCTATTGTTGCGTGTAAACTCGTTGCTGTGAGAACCTGTTTGTTTTTTGATCGCTACCTAGTAACGGGTCTGCATGCTACAATATTTAATTTTAGTCATTAGAACGTTACAACGTGCCTATCGCACTAGCCATGAAGTTTGAGGCATTAAATGATTTCTCCCTCTGTAGCCCTGGGATAATGTGTTCGAATCCCACTCGAGACATGGATGTATGTCTCCTTTTTTTTGCGTTGTATAGTTAGCGGCCTTGTGACAGGCTGATTCGGCATGAAAGGTGTCCCACCAGGTGTCTGTAAGATTCATAGTTTCAGATTAATTCTGAATGGGAATTGACCGATGGGTGAAATCCGTCTGAGGAAGAAGAATAAAAAGAACATTACAACTTTGCTTGTAATTCTGTGTGTACCAGACTAGGGTTTGGCAATCATCAGTATGTAAAAAAAAATTGACCCTCATGTGCTGGGTTATTTAAAATTTCCAGTAAGGCAAATTTGTCCCTGTACTTAACTAATTAAACACTGCGCCATGAAGGCGTATGGGGGAGTGGATGTATAGATCCACATTCTCTTTACGTCGGCACTAGTTGGAGGTGAGTGGTCAGCTTCACGCCCCGGCCTCTTGACCCCCGGGGAAAGAGCCCCTGGTACCCATTGGATACGAGGATGGGTGGACCCTAGACCCGGTCTGGACTACATGAGAAGAGAAAATTCTTGACCCTACCGGGACTCGAACTCTGACCCCTTGGTCATCCAGCCCGTAGCCAGTCGCTATACCGATATGAAACAAATAATGTACCAGCGAAAATGTTGGACAAAACAGGAGTTCTCTTTCATCATTAACTGGAAGCGTGAGCTTAAAAGTGCGAATCAAGGGAAATGAGCTTCAGAGATACGTAATTAATTGGGGTAGAAACTTTGTCTAGAAGCCCTAAAAGTTACTTTCACTTTTTACTAAAATACTGTGCGGAGTTTATTGTTTTCTATTTTATACAAAGACGGTTGTCATTCCTGTGGCTTCGTGTAAAATATGTTCAACTCGAATTTAATTTTTCTCGACGCTCCCGAAACATTATTATTCCCAGTATTGTAGTGCTGCCTTGTTTCGGAATGTATCCTGGCCTCAACTTGTTCCCGCAGGAACAAATAACTTTCTGTATTGGACACAGTGTGTGTGTGTGTGTGTGTGTGTGTGTGTAATTTCCGTCACATAGCATGCATTCTCTTCACATTGCTTTGACACTTTGATTTTACACTTTTGAAGAGACCACCTGATTTAAATGCAAAATGGAGGAAAGTATAAAACCAGATAAATTATAATAATGCACCATAGAATGATGTGTTTTTTATTGCTAGTGGGGTGGGACTAAGTCCCTTGTACTGCGGCCACTTCTGGCCTATTGTACCAGCCCCAGATGATACGTGAGGGTGATTGTGGAGCAGTTGGTGGAATGAAGATTGGCAGGGGAAACCGAAGTACTCGGAGAAAACCTGCCCCAGCGACACTTTGTCCACCAAAAATCCCACTTGATCAGACCCGGTATCGAACCCGGGCCACCGCGGTGGGAAGCCAGCGACTAACCGCTTGAGCTATGGCGCGGCCTGGCGATGATGTGGGTTGCTTTATAACATAAATTTTGGAAGCTATTTAAAATATCCGTATTTGAACCCAATATCGACAAGGTATTTAAAATATGCATTCGACAGCTAACGTTTCAAGGATTTTCACAGCGTGGAGAAGGATCCTTTCAGTCTCTTCACACTTTCTCGAAACTGTGTTTAATGAAGGATATTGGAAGTTTATAATCGTTAAGCAAGTTACAAGCTTGTTTCAATATGGACATCAACTTGTGCTCTAATAAAAATGTTACCATTTCCCTTTGGCTTTCGCTTTCCATTACACAGACCAGTAAATTAATAAATGAATTACCGTGTTTCTGTACAATGCCTAACCTCTTGTAGATGTCATCAACAGTGTACTTTATATGTCATGATGCTGACATAATGACTCTGACCGGTGTTAGGCGGTTTGCATAATCTCGATCGTTTCAACAGTGCTCCTTTCTTTGCGTCATGTCGCAGACATCGTGTCTTGACTGTTACATGTCTTGACGCAGGTCGGTGTGCGGCCTACCGTACACTGTACAGGCAAGCAACACGCCGTGTCCTCACACGAGCTGCAAAGTGCAGTGATATTGACGATGGGATTCTCGAAAATGTGTTGCACTAGGTAAACTGTACCAGCTTGGTCACGTTAACAGTAAATACCGGTATTAGAAACAGTACGTAATATCTATTTTTACCAACAATTTTGGAACTGAAGAAAGCAGTCTTCTGGGATTTGGCACCGTGTATATGTGGTGTTAACCGACGTTTCGGAGGCGATACGTTCATCCGAAACGTCGGTTAACACCACATATACACGGTGCCAAATCCCAGAAGACTGCTTTCTTCATAGTCACCGCCGTGAAAGCCTCAAATCTTACAATTTTGGAACTGTACATTGAAACCGTTCGGAACAGGACACATCAAACACATGTAAACTATAGCATTTTAAATATCCGCTCTAGAAGTGTGCCTCTTTAAGTATGCACGTTTCATGGCCGTGTCATTGCTCAGTCGGTTAGTATCCGGCTTCGTACCGCGGCGACCCGGGTTCGAGCCCAGGTCAGATCATGTGCGACTTATGGTGGACGAAGTGGCACTGGGGTAGATTTTCCTCGATTACTTCGGTTTCCTCTGCCATTTGCATTCCACCGATGGTTCCACAGTCGTCTATCATCCGGGGCTGGTACAATAGGGCAGCCAGTGGCCGACGTAGCAAGTTGACTCAGTCTCACCCCACCCCAAGAAATTAGGAAACTAAACTAAAAATTACTCATTTCATGAACCGTTTGTGATACTTTAACGTATAAAATCGTCGTTAGATAGGAACAAGAATTGCGTCATCATGATTCAGCCAATGTTTTCCAACCCAGATTTCTCCAGCTCTTTTATTTTTAGTACTACGCTGTTGAAAATGACACGATCATGTAAGGGCGCAGTGATGTGCATTAGTTGCAATTTGCTTGTGCACCCGACTGACCTATCGACTAGTGCAGGGTCGTGATGTGGGCAGTGGAGTACATTTATGTTCCTGTGCAGGAACTGCCTCGTGGGAAAGGCGTACCAGATAAAGATATCCGACTTCGGAACAGACAACGAGCTCTACGCTGCTGACTACTACAAGGTAGATGGCACCATGGCCCTCCCGATCCGCTGGATGGCCTGGGAGTCTATATTCCAGGTATGTAACCTGTATCTCGCAGTTCTGTGTCGGTTGATCGCGACACTGTTTGCTTCTAACACTCATGAAACCAATTTCTGTGCCTAATACGTGGTTCAATGATTCATTCATTCATTATTGGAGGGGGTGGGTTTCCCCATGCACCGCGACCAGTTGTTGATCTATTGTACGTCCCCCTTTGATATTCTACCAGTCGCCATACCCTTCCGGTACTGGTGCTCGCTATCAGCCCCGTTCAGCCAGCGAGTTCGGCCCCTCTACTGGCAGTGATACCTGATACTTCCCCATCTACCGGAGGCATTGGAAACTACTTGGGCGGGAAACTTTTTACCTAATTTTGCTCAGAGGTCTCCTAGAGACATGAGGATCTTTTACGTGCCGTAAATCTACGACACGGGACCCACGGCCTAAGTCCCTCCCGGAGGACTTGTTCCCTGAATTTTTCCACGACCTCCGCCGGGTTTGAACCCGCGTACCTTGAGTCATGAGGTGGGAACGTTACCCCTAGACTATGGAGGCCGCTTTGGTTCAATGATACTGGAGAGTATGAGTTAAAAGTTACTGACGTTTCGTAGAAACATGTCGCCTCCATCTTCAGTGTCGAAGAATAAGCCAAGAGAGAAACCAGCGTTGAACAGGTAGCAATCGGACACGTTCCTCCGAAACGTTGGCTAACTTTCAACGGAGTTAACGTCATTATAGACAAGAGGATATGAAATCCTACATGTTTTATGACTGAAATCAGTAGATGAATCCCTCTATGGACAGGTTCCATAAAACTGGGGGAATATTTTTGAGTAGCTGAGTCATTAGCTGCTTCTGAGGAAGGACTCAGTTCCTCGGAGTTAGTTGGTTAGTCAGTAACTCAGACTGTGTTGCGCCTAGTAAAGCAAAGTACACTTCATTACATCATTTCTGGAGACTATTATGTGTTCCGGTATGCATGGGCATTTTCTCGCTTACTAAAATAGTATTTAGGATTAGGCATACTAGTTCATGGACTTCGTCCATCGTTCAGCAATGCGGACGGAACACAACTCTTCGTAAACGGGCTCAGTTGTATCCCTTAGAACGAGCTTGGATCCATCTTTTGACTTGAAGAAGGAAACAGATCAAATTTACGAAGCATGTTCTGTTCGGAATATTAGACTAAACAGAGTGTAAAAATTTATAAATCCTAAGTACGTGTATTTCGTTGTGAGAACCCTCAGGATTTACTTGAGTCAATATTATGAAAAAGTTTTATAGAATGGTCTTATATTCTTGCTTGCAGAAGTGCAAAGAGTTTGGCTGACTTTACCACAGCCCCGTCTTTAATACGTTTATGGTTTCCCTGAACTCAATTGATCAAAATAAGGCCACTCCATCTTGAAGAAGGCGAGAACTGACGCAACAAAGGAAATGCACCCGCATACTAAGTGTAGCATAGGCGTAATATTTTGTAGAATAAAGTAATTTCATTTACTTTAGAAAAGACACTACAGCATTCAGTGGATAGACGCTCTTTTCAAATGCTGTGAGTGTAGTTCGAGTGCTAAATAAAACTGGAGATGTACTGTTCTCATACTCCAGTGAGATATGGCGCAGTTTCAACTGGAATAAAGGAAGTACACATCGTTCCCTAACCAGGTCTAAAGACGCAGGGTGTGACGCTGTGAACTAGGTTCAGGTTGCAGAACGCAGGGACTTGGTGGGGTCCCGTCAACACGGTAATGAACTTTCAACTTTCATACACCTACGCCATGGAGGTCAGCCCTTCTAAAGAAGCCGCCAGCCTCTTAGTCATACAAGAGTTTCGCAACATTTTATGGAACCCGAAGGTTCATTACCATGTTCACTGGTCCGTATCCTGAGCCAGAACAATCCAGTTCATACCACTCCATTCTATTTCTTTAAGATCCATCTTAACATTATCCTCCCTCCTACGTCTAACTCATCTAGTGGTCTTTTTTATTCTGGTTTTCCCATTAATAACCTATATGCATTCCTCTTCTCCCGTGTTGCATGCTACATGCCCTGCTAATGTCAATCTCCTTGACTTAATTATTCTAATTATATTTGGCGAAAAGTACAAGTTATGGAGTTCATCATTGTGCAATTTTCTGTAACCGCATATCATTTCATCTCTTTTACATAAAAAGGCTGGAAGTTTTTTGAACAGCTGAGCAACTATCAGCCTCTGAAAGTTCATGGCGTGAACTGTTTCGTTTAGTTAGACTCGTCAACTTTTTGTAAACTGCCGTTAACTGAAAACTAGAATCACCTTGGAGTAGCTGTAACGATCTGGTTGCTGAAACTGCTCGTCATGCAACACGCTAACACAGTCTTGCGTAATGTACAGTAAGATCTTCAGACCGAGGAGTCGGGCGCTCCCCCTGTGAAGTCGGGCCGACACATACCGCACTAGCCCTCTTCGCGGTGAATCTGTATTCTTGGAAATCGGTTTGTTACGTTTACCTGAAGGAGGGAAGAGGGTAGGGTCGGACCAGTGGGGAGCGGATATGTAAGGTGTGTAATGAAAATCTGTCACGGTAATAGGATTGAGGTGTGTCAGGGCCATAGTTAGAGGAAGGTGTATTGGTTCGACCCCACCCCTTTGAGGCGAACACATCCAGGGTGATATGGTGAAAGTACTTTCCTTTATCAATATTTAGTTAGGAAATATGAGAAAGTAATCGGTATTAATATCGCGTGGTTGGACTGTAGTCTGTAGGTGTCGTTGCTGTAAACTGAGTTTCCGAATACCCGCTGGGGATACGTCTTACTTACCGTTTTTTTTATTGCTAGTGGGGTGGGACTAAGTCCCTTGTACTGCGGCCACTTCTGGCCTGTTGTACCAGCCCCAGATGATAGGTGAGGGTGATTGTGGAGCAACTGGTGGAATGAAGATTGGCAGGGGAAACCGAAGTACTCGGAGAAAACCTGCCCCAGTGCCACTTTGTCCACCACAAATCCCACTTGACCAGACCCGGGATCACTCGGGCCGCCTCGGTGGGAAGCCAGCGACTAACCGCTTGAGCTATGGCGCGTCCCTCTTACTTACCTTATTGAGATTAATGCGAGGAAGAGTCAGTAAATAGGCCACAAATGGAAGTAAAACAGCTGTAGTGTATGTAATAGGTTTTCTATGTGTATCGCTAGGTACCAGCACGGTTCAGCTTCATGACAGCCTAGGTAGCAGACGCATATGGGCTTGTTCACAGGCTGGTTTCAGTAGTCAAAATGGCTTCAGTTAATCACCGAAGAGTAGCGTTCTGTTGCGAGTTTTTATGAGTAAAACGACTCAATGCAAAGGATATTCATAAAAAATGGTTCCTGTTTACGGTGGGAAGTGTTTGTCGCGTAAAGCGGTTCATAACTAGGTCGAGAAATTTCCATCTTAGTGGGAAACGTTTCGTTGATGACGAAGAGGTTGAAACGGAGGCACGGAAGTGGACAAGACAACCATCAAAAGACTTCTACCCTGTGGGTTTCGACGCACTGGTAAAGCGAAGGGACAAGTGTATAAATGTTGGTGGAGGATATGTCGAGAAATAAATATTTTTTACAGGTACGAATATCACATATTTTACGTTTTACTTCCATTTGTGACCTATTTACTAACCCCCCTCGTACTCAGCCCCGTTTCTATTTTATTTTTTTTATAGTGTCATTTATTAATATTCTTCTACGTTAATTCCATGGAACCGGGTTCCCTATAAAAAGTTCAGCTGGTCAAAACCTATATATCGTTATAAAACCGAAGGATTATTACAGTATTTACAGAATCCCACCACAACAATTTAAACTAAGCCAGCTAAATCCAGTCCATACTCTTATAACCTAGTTGTTTAGGATCAATCTTAATATTAGTCCTATCCTTCCATCTACACCCAGGTCTTCCAAGCAGTCTCTTCCCTTCAAGCTTACCAACCCCAATTTTTATACACTTCTCGCCCCTTCAATACATGCTACATGCCCTGTCAGATTCATCCACCTAAATTTTATCATGCATTATATGTTGCGACTAGGTTCTTCGAACTTCATGTTGGGAACTGCTGCACTTCAATCAGTGAATACAGTTCCAAATTTTACACTCTTTAATGCTCCCCTGTGTTGTGCAGTTGTAGTGCTTGGTGATTCCTCCTGTGTGTCGTGTGTCGTTTACTTTTAGTGTCCTAATGATATTTGGTGGCCTGTCACAGTAGCCGCACTGTCTAAGGCGTGAACGGATTGTGGGTTCGAATCCCATGTTTGGTGTGTTTATGCATTTATTCTGTGTTTGTGTTGTCCTGTGCTTAGGTAGCAGCCTTGCGACGCATTGATCACTCGTCCAGGGAGTCCTACCGCTTGTGAGAAAATGATTACAGAAATGAAGAAGAGGCCTGGGCCCTATAAGGGCTGGAAGAGCCATTGAAAAAAAAAAAATTTGGTGAAGAATACAAGTTATAAAGCTCCTCATTAGCTAGCCTCTGTTGCATTCCTCCTCTTAGGTACTACAAATATTCTCTGCACTCTGTACCGCAAACACTCTCAGTCTGTGCTGTTCCTGGAAGGAAGCGATCAGATTTCACATGCATGCAAAATGAGAGATTAGGGAATTATTGCATACATTTAAAATTTTACATAGTCTTGTTAGATCTGGGGTTCTCATGATGGCAAACATATACTTTACTGTCATCCAGGATGTAACAAAATATGAAAATAGGGGCAGTAGGTTCCTGCGAAATGTTGGTGTCATTCTACCAGGTCAAACAGTGTTACACCCTGGAAGACAGTACTTATTACATAGTTCTCCTCATACAGTGAAATCAGATTTCTCAAGGAACCTGTTGCAGTTACGTTGATAATAAGTAGCAGCTTTTGTCTTCAGGGTAAATACACGACCAAGAGTGATGTATGGGCTTTTGCTGTTACACTGTGGGAGATCCTCAACCTGGGACGCCGACCTCCGTTCGAAATGCTAACTGACCCACAAGTAGTGGAAAACTTAGCTCACATGCAACGTGATGACGGTCAGTTTGCATACCTACCCCGACCACCAGCACCGCCTTGTACGAAGGATATATATGACCTCATGTGTGAATGCTGGCGTCGCCATGAATCCGAGCGACCCAGCTTCAGGGAGATCCATCTATTTCTGCAGAGGAAGAATCTTGGATACGCCCCAGTCACGTGATCTTCTGCAGCATTAGTGTCTTCTGAAGAGCAAACCAGTGTCACAGTGTTGGGGCCTCCTGGTGCAGCCTAGAGAAATAAGCACCATGTGAGAAAGCTGGCTGCACAGTTTTCTGGTTCACAAATTCTGGGGGGAAAGAAATAAGAAATAAAATATATAACGGACCGTATACATGGAAACACTATTCTAAGAACTGGTTTTATTTGCATCTTTTCCTAGTACCATTATTTCCTTAAATGACTCCAGAAATGGAATGGTGAGCAAGATATGAACCGCAGAAAATATATTGCAAACAAGATTTTATATGTATATATATGATGATGCGAACGTTTTCATCTTTACTTTAGAGTATTTGGAACTTCTTTAGGATACATGCATTCACAAGGCTTATCATTCCTTACTATCAGAGCTTTTGATGTCTGAGATACAAAAATAAGTAGTTTTGTGGTTCTCAGAATGAATCTGGGAGCACTCTAAAGGGACTAATCCATTTAAGGACAAATATATACATTGTTTCTACTTTTTTATGAACTGTGCAGAATTTGTATAATTGGGTATTTATTATTTAAAATATACGATTTCTTATCTGAATACGCATGTGGAAAATATGCTAGGAATTCTTAGCAAAAAAGAATGTCTTACCTGGACTGTCAATTTAAAGAGCCTTCATGAAATTGCATTATAAAATTTCTAAGACTGCAATCATGAATATATTTTGTCACACTCAATGAGCTGTACTTATATTTATATGATTTGGAAGGAGTATCAGTATATATAATTGGTTCTCTGTGATGAATGTAAGTAAACTCAGTGTGCATTTGAGAGCTTTCAATAGGTCTGAATTTTAGGCGATGCATATATATTGATATGGATTGAGAATCATGTTATGTATTCATGTCATCTCTGAAGCAAAGGGTACAGATGTAGAATATTTGCAGAATGCTGAAGTGTGAAATTGTAAATCAGTCATTTTCATAATGATAAATTGATTTCATAATTGCTGTACATTTAATGCCAAGGCTTCTTCCAAAAATTGTGACTGTTTTTGATACATCAATTTCCAAAACAAGATTTTTGACTTCACTGATGGTGTCTTTTAGAAATTGTATTAAACTTGGGATAATAACATTTAATGATTAAAGGTAATACAACACAAAAGCCTTACAAGTTTTGATATTCTTAAAGAGGAATATGATCTTGGCATGAGAGACTCTCCCTAAGTGAACAGATAAAGTAGTATAGCATTGAATTACGGGTTGCACAAAGGATATGGTCTGATAAAATGAAGAATTCTCTGGAAATATAAATAATATGGAAGGATTCATAACATTGTGAACTTCTTTATAGACTTGCATGTCCATAAACAAGATACCCATGTGGAAAATTTTGTGTAGTTCTGTATGAAGTGTGGATAAGTTACCACTCTATGGAAAAGGGGCTCTTGCAAATTCAAGACTCGCCTTGGTATGTGACATTACTGCAGTTAAGCTTTCTTTGCAGTTTAGAAAACTAAGAGTTTAATGATTCCATTCATTTTGTATTGCTCATTTTGCTGAGATGTTACCGTTCATGTTTCTTGTGGATCTCAAGATGGTTTAAAGTTGAAAATCCCAAGCAGTTCTGCTTCAACAGTAATTTTGCCTGCCTTGCATACTCTGTGAAACACATAGTGCTGGGGTGGTATCTCAAACCTTCGTTACAGCCTAAGGTCAGTAAGCCACATTAATTATTATGTTATATTCATCACAAAAATCATATGTGAGTGGGACAATCAAATTAATAATTTATACCATCGGGTAGACATCACTTATAAGTAATAAGAATGAAATGAATATATAAAGCAAACTTATTTATGTTACCATTTGAGAAGTTATTTTACCTAATTCTTAACAGTGGCTTTGAACTACAAGAAGCCAAAGCTGAAGACCTATTCTCAAGAAACATGCAATATTAGTATGAACTGCAGCTGCATAACTTAGAAAACTTTTGCAGTTACAGTCAACATTTCTTCTAAGGAAAGGTCGTCAATAATTGGATTGTGTAAAGACTACAGTCTGCAGTAAATTGCTATCCCATGTCATAGGTAACAGCTATGGCATATATGTATCTCACATAGCATGTAGGAATAGTAATGTTATTCCCCTGAACTTCTAATCCCAATTTTCATGAATCAGTTATTACAGGTAGTGCCTCATAATATATCTATAGCATGTAGCATCTAAGGAAACACGACACTTGTTCTGTGTGATCAATTTAATATCATTGGTATCAGTTAAAAAGCAATGATATTTAGTAATTTTATATACAATTGTGCATCGTGGTAACTTTGTGTGTATGACACTTAATTGTTGAAGTCTCTGAAATGTTACATATTTGTATTTCATACAAATAATCCTGAGTCATGTAGACTTGTTGCATACAATTTGGTGGTAAAAACATGGCACAGCTCTGAGTGAGGAAATAATTATATGTGTGCTGTAATGAAAAAATTTTTACATAATGAATATTAAATATATCTGAACTTTCTTTGTGTTTCTTCTCAAGAAACATGTGGACTGGTTCTTGAGTATATCTATCAGCTGAATAAAACAATCTGTTTCATTTTTATACCTATTGTAGTTAGATAAAAATATAAACAAATACACAGGAAGGAACAAAATGGAGGAACCAGCTGTTCATATACCATTACTGGAATGTCATTTGTGGATGTCATAATTGTGGGTGCATCTGCGATATTAGAATAATGTTCAAAAAGAAAGCTGATACATATACATATATACATAATTGTATGTACTAAATATTCCATGAAATGTTTCTCCCATCGTAAGTACCAATGTGATATAAATAGTTATTTAACAGTAGAACCAATCATGAAGCAAACAAATGTTTGTTCATAGTTTCCGTAAGCCTACACATGATGTGTGTACATAACACTATTTTAACGTTGAAGAGAAGCAAAGTAACATCATAGGAGTATCATTATAACAATAATATATGTAGGATAATAACAACGACTGCAGTTTTAAAAACATGTACAAAATTATCGAAATGTATATATATGTCATAATTAATATTATTACAGAAAACAAACTAGTCACACTGAGGAAGGAAAGGCCAAATTCCACTGCCATAATTTCTATGATGTAGGCCTGATTGTTTTAATGCCATAGAAATTATTATAATTGACCAAAAATGTTTGTAGGATAGAAGTGGTGCATTTGGTCTCCATTTTATGTGAGTAGCACTTAATTGGTCGATTGTGTTGTAGCATGGCAGTGACGTCATATATATGCAGGGTAATTTTACATTGATTTTAAACATTTGAAATGAATATGAGGGACTATTTTGTATTGCAGTAATTTCTTAAAATCACTATGATTGGTGTTGGGCACAGTGAATTCACAAAGACAGCTTAACTAAGCTACTAAGCTGTTATGCACTGAGTTTCAAATAAAAGTAGCCCAGTTCTGTTTATGTGTTCATAAGAATTGAAATAATTAAATTGTTCTTAAGATCTTTTGATCTTAAATTGTTCTTAAGCTTTAGTTCCAGATTCACACTAGACCAATTGCTCTTGTAAGAGAATTTTATTTGGGTGATATTTAAGGTAAGATCTCTCCCTCTGGTCGATGTTCCGTGTGTCATTTAGCAAGAGTGAAAATATGTACAACCTAGCAGTTCTGACTTGTGTCACAAAATGTCTCTTCTGCGTTATCTCAAAGCGCAAAATAAATCTTACGTTTAGTAGTTGTTCCTTAAACTGCCATTAATGCAGTGGGATTGGTTAGCATTGCTTTACAGTATGGGCACAGAGATGTGTCATTTATCTAGTAGTTGCTCACATGAAGTAGTATTCTATATCACTGACATATAAAAACAGGTAGACAGCTCACAGAACATCAGGAACTTGGTTTTCACTTGTTCCATATAGTTGCGTTAATATGCACACGATCAATTAAAGCATATTCTTGTAATATTCAACCTCGGGTAATGCATTTTTAAGTATAGACAAACGTATTTTCAAAATAAATAAATAAATGCTTTGAGTCATAACATGTATCTAAACACATTAGATCAACTGTTGACATCACAAAGCCCGGGTTACAGTGTTGTTTCCAATCATGTGAATGTAACAAGAAGGAAATGGTACTATAGCAATCTGTAATATATAACTGGGTTCCATAAATACTTTCTTTCTTTATAAAGATTTGTAAAAGCATTGAGTGTTTACTAAGTGTGCAAGATTTTGGTAATTTCTTTTGGCATTTCATTAAGTAGTATTCTGAAGTTCAGAAAATCAGTAATAATTCCAAGTGTGGCACAATCAGTTACATATCACTGGACTGTATGTAGAGTCCAGGAGAATTGTTTTAAATTGGAAGTTACACCCAAGAGTAAATAAGTAAATACATGTAAATAACACAGATGATGGTTATAAATAAATGTTCTGCTTTTCTCTTTTGTATGTGTGTCATGGCACCTCCTTATTTATCCCAACCAAGAGGGAATGGTTCTGTGGTGAGAAAAAGAACTAATAAAAAACGATCACTTTAACATGTAATAGAGCGATAAATGATACAAACTCCGTCCCAAGTGCAAACAATATATATTATATGTCTTTGATCTTGTTCTCTTCTACACTACATGTTTCGGCTTCTATTGGCCATCATCAGGTGTATACCCTTACGTTGCTGCCACACTGAACCCAGTCTAAAATTTAACATTTAAAAACACATTGTTATTTTCTTCGTATTATCAACATCTACCTCGTTGATGTGTGTCTGGTATGTAGATTATATTGCACACGTCAAATTTGATTTTCCTGTAGTAGCACTATAAAATCTTTAGTTATGATTTTAAAATCCTTTAAAATTTTCTCTAAATTTTAAATTTAAAATTTAAAATTGTTAGGGTTACTCGCCCTATGTCTAAAGTGCTGGAGCGGCTAGTTCTTGTTTCCACACTGTACAGGNTAGAGCCTCTGGGACTATGTGTTACAGACAACAACTGTGATGGATAATCTGGTCAGGTTTATAAATTGCTGGCTGTATACAGCTTAGCAAGTCTCTTTTTAGTCACTGACTCAATAGGAATATTAAATAAATGAATGATTATGAATTGAAATTTAAACAAGGTACTGTCTCACTACAGAGGGCAAAGATTACTATGATATTTCTTGAGTTAGGGATGCTATGGAGTTATCTATCGATATCAAAATTGTGTTGATAAAATCGGTGTAAGGCTTTTAAAATTATACAAGTACCCAATTCAGTTCTATTATACATTGTATATATATCTGTTTCAAATTGTCACATTTGGATGTAAATTGCTGTAAGTACTATTTGAATTATATCATTTTAATTATTTAAATAATATAGTTAAGTTTGACATATTTTATATTTAATTTATTTATGATACAGAACCATCAGTGCTGTTCATATGTGTCTTTCTTCCTCATAGCCAAATGAAATATCTTTCCAAATTTTCTTACATAAATTACAGTTTTGCAATAAAGCCTACTTTTGGATAAATAAAAGTCACTTTACACTGCGAAGAGATGATATGATATATAGAGAGCCAGGTACATCACTCATTCATTCACTCATGTGGCTGAGCCCTTCTGGAGAAGCTGCCAGTTGGGCAGCTTTAAGAACTTCCCAGCATTTTAAGGAACCTGAAGGTTCATACTGTGTTCACAAGAGCCCTCCAGCGGTTCTTATCCTGAGCCAGATAAATCCAATCCATGCCATTCCATCCTATCTCTCTGAGATCAATTTTAATATTGTCCACCCACCTATGCCTTGGTCTTCCCAGTGATCTCCTTCCTTCCAGCTTGACTGGATGCATATTACTTGTATTATAAAATATTCCTTTACTGTTAAATTGTATCAATTTATTGACATGTGCTAATGTTCCTGCGCAGAATTATCAAAGATGAATGAAGTGAAGAGTTCACATCCAGAGGCCTTGCTCCTGCAGGTATATTATTCTCTAGTAATATAAAATTTATGAAAGTGAAACCAAGCTTATTTTGCTCTGGAATTAATATGCTAATTGTGAGACACCAGTTAATGAAATACAAAATAGTCATACATATATACTTCGATCCCAGGTCTGGTCAAGTGGGATTTGTGTTGGACAAAGTGGCGCTGGGCCAAGTTTTCACCGAGTACTTCGGTTTCCCCTGCCAATCTTCGTTCCACCAATTGCTCCACAATCACCCTCACCTATCATCTGAGGCTGGTACAATAGGCCAGAAGTGGCTGCAGTACAAGGGACTAAATCCCACCCCACTATCGATATAAAAAAAGTTTCAGTAATAGCAGGCTAAGATGAAAAATGTCTTTGCTGTAGCTACCATTGTATCTATACTTGAGAACAACTCCGTATTGAAGGACACCCCAGCATTCTTCACATTACGGTAACCACTACTGTAGCTGCTATTCTTCTGTTGACGTAACTCATTGACAGTTGTGGTCAAATGGGTACCAGTCCGTTTTGTTACTCGTGAGATTGTGGGTTCAGATCTTTGCCAGGAGACTGATTGTCTTGAGGATTTTGAGGGGTTCTCTGAGCCCTTTGAGGTGAATGGCAGGACAAAACCTCAAGTCCAGACCATGGCCGCTTGACTTCCGCATTGTTTCCAATTCCTTATTCACTAACCACTTCACCTTTAGACGCTGTATAGTCTAAGTTAGGAGCCGGGGTAGCGCAGTCGGTATAGCGACTGGATACGGGTTGGACAACCGAGGGGTTTGAGTTCTAGTCCCAGTAGTGTCAAGAATTTCTTCTTCTCCACGTCATCCAGACCGACTCTGGGGTCCCCCCAACATCCTATCCAATAGGTACCGGGGGCTCTTTCCCCGGGGGTAAAGTGGCAAGGACGTAAAGCTGACCACTCACCTCCAACTAGTGCGGGGGTCAAGAAAATATGGATCTCTACATCCACTCCCCATACGCCTTCATGGCGTAGTGCTAAATTAGTTAAGTACAGCGATAATTTTACCTTTTATAGTTTTAAGTTACTGATAATTCTTTAAATAAGCTACAAACAACATTTTTGTTACCAATTTTCCTCTTTTTTTTTTCAGGTATGCTTAGTTTTGTGCTGCAATTAATACGCCCCATTCTGCAAGCAGTTGAATTCTTCTGTTCACAACTCGTTTCCTGTCCCACTACAGTTTCTTGTCCTCTCTTGCCTAGCGCATCAGTTATCGACAGTACGTCAGTGTGTGTGTGTGTGTAAAGGCGCGTCCACATTACTCATGCTCGTGCTCGTGGACGATATGACAAGTCACGAGACAAGCACATTTTTAATTATTAATTTAAAAATTATAGCCAATAAATTAAAATATGACTACAGCCTACACACACTAAGAGTAAATATACGGATTCTCAGGCGCCGAAACCTGGCGAGCAACTGAAGTAGTGTGGACGAAGATTTACGAGCACAAGTAAAAGCCAGACGAGTCTCCCGACGAGCACAAGCCTGGCGAGCACGAGTAATGTGGACGCGCCTTAAGAGGTTAATTGTGGTGACAGTATAACTGCCTAAAAGGACGGTGCATTAGTAAAATACAAGATATAAGTAATTAGTTATAAGTTTATTTCCATAATATTATGTGAACTTTGCGTAATGACAACCTAATCATAACATACAGTTTTAGAAAAATACTAAATATGTATTTCAGGAAGCACCTTTGAATAACCATCTTTCATAACAGCTGACGACAGACTATTGTCGGCAGATAACAAACGCATGAGCACTCATAACCTTATCGAGCTCTATTACAATTTCATTGTATAGGCCTACATAGGCACATAGTCTTAAGTACTGAGTACAGCTAATAGACAAGTCTTGTGGGATTCTCGTAATAAGATTTTCCATTCAAATTTTAACAAAATTGTATTTAAAGATCACTGCCTTCTGGAATGTGAGGTGTATTTGGTACGTAGGCACCGTAGTTTTGGAGACACCTATTACTTACATCTCAAAGATAAGCTAATTTAGAGGGTAATTTTCTACTCTGAAGACGGAGGTAGCAGATTTCTCCGAAACAATGGAACCTAGAGGACCTCAAATCTTATAACTTAAATTATTATTGTATATTTCGTTTGCTTTCTTTATATTAGGTACATGGTAACTGTTCCGCAGACCAAGGCCTTGGAATTAGTGTTTCCTTCGCAAATCCGAAACAGAAAACAAGATATTTTAACTTCATAAACTCCAGTCTTAACTTGTTTCCGGTTTAATTTAATCTTGCTAAACAATTACAGTATTATGGGATGTGACTTCGTGCAGTCTGGAGGACCATCGCCAACCTTTAACAGGAAGTCACTGCGTCCATCGAACTAACGGGACTCGGGACCGAGTCCTTCTGGAGAAGCCAACAGACGCTCAGCCATTTAAAATATTTCTCAAAATGTTATGGAACCACGTTCACAAGAGCTCGTCGCAGTCCATATCCCGAGTCAGATGAATCCAGTCCATACCACCCGATCTATTTATCTAAAATCCAGTTTCTTTTTATCCACCCATCTGCGTCTAGTTCTTCCTAGTAGTCTCTTTCCTTCTGCTTTTTCCATCAAAATCCTATATGCATTCTTATCTCTCATGCGTTCTACATGAACTGCCAATGTTATCCTCCTTGATTTGGTAATTTTAATTATACTTGGCGAACAGTTGAAGATATGAAGTTCCTCACTGTACTGACAGCACCGGGAAATAACCCACAACAAACAAAAGAATGCACTAAATATACGAACATACGTTGGAGGCAGCAAGAGATCCTGAACCATTGAAAACTACTACCAGTCTACACGGTGTCCTTACTCAAATAACGTTGTTTGACTTGGTAATATCGGCAGTGCCAGATTGAACTGATGCCGTTGGGGTTGCTGTTCGAGGGTGAGGGTATGGTTTAATGACGATGACTGTGGCGGGGGAAGGTGGTCATGTTTGTGGTGGACATGGGGCTGTAAGGCGGTGTCCCGCACATCCAGTGCAGCACAAATTGTCAAGCGAGTATTCATAAATTTTCTGGCCTGTTCACTATGGCTGATATTTGTTCTGTACCAGTAAAACCAATCAGCATTCTGAATGTTTACCGGTCGTGTAATGGAAGAAAAGACCTGCCTCTTTCATTCTGACCAGCTGCAATTTTCCTCAACTCTGCGGGAAAGTTTCATGAACGTGTCCGATTTTCGTTCCTGTAGGGACAAGTGAAGTTACAAGTGAATTCAAACTACACACGCTCCAATATGCCCTTAGCTACTGTGCAGGTAAACGTCGAGCCATTAAACTGTCTCCACTCTAGTAGATTCTAAAGGATTCTGACGATGGTGTACAATACTCAGAATTACTAGGTTTCTGGACTTTGTCCATCATCCGGTATTCTAGAAACCAGAAAATTTGGTTTCGTTAGCTAGATTTGTAGCATAAATTTCTACCTCCTTTTCTATCCT